CGAACTTGAGCCGATCTCGAGTTTTAACGAACCGCACTATAAAAAAATTATATAAAAATTCTATTTTCGAGTCTTAAAGAGTAAAATTACAAAAAAATGGTAAAATATATCCATCAGTTAGGCTGATTTGATGTTTGTTTGTTTGAATATTGAAAAAACATTAAATCCATAGAAATCCACGTATTAATTTCATTTATTTCAGCGCACTGTTTTACCAAACCATCAAAAGCTCCAACAGGAATTTTAATTATATCTTTAACTGTTACATCTTCAAAATGTCACCTTCATAAACTTTAATTTCTCATTTTAATTATATCATTTTCTTTTATGTGGTTCTTTATATTATTCTAAATAACATAATTTTCAATCAATAATTATTGCAAAAATACAAAACATTTATTTATAGGATTTCTTTTCCATGGCTTTTAATTTCTAACTTGGCTTAAAAGAAAGATAACATGAGTTACAAACTCTCACATACATCATATTTTTCATGACAATAAATGCCCAAATGCTAATAAATCACGAATTCAATTTGCTCAACTTCTTCTTTTCCCTATATAAGTAGTACTATTATTATTATTATTATTATTATTATTATTATTATTATTATTTTGGAGTGGTTTGAATTCACATTTTTCATCATTTAAACTAACCCACTTTTTACATTAATTGACCCAACTAAAAAATTGTTTTTTTTTTCGAACAAAGAGAGGTCAAAGTTCATTAATATTTCTTTACTATGAGTCTATGATTAGTCACGTTGCTACAAGTGAAGTATAATTTTTATACTATTACAATATAAATATGTATTTTTTATTTAAAATATATTACAAATCAACCAATATAATTATTAGACCGATTTACATGAAAATTTATGATGACTAAAAAATGCACTAAGCTTCAACCACTCCAAATGAAAAATTAGAGGTGTTATTTAGATCTTATATTTGAAGTACATGCGACCCTTAGTCAATATAGTACAGTTTGATTAGGTTGCAAATTGTACTCGTATTAGCTTATTAGGTTAATTGCACAAATTTATTTCAATAAAGTATTTGATTTGAAATTAATCACCTTTAATTATACTCCGTCAGAGTCACGCTCAAATGATAACCATAGTGAGTCAAATTGCTATTTATGTAGATAAAAAATTTATGTCAACAATTAATAGCATTGGCCCTTATTTTGGTGTTGAAAATTGAAACCCTCTGTTCTAATGAATACTATTAAAAGGGGTCAAAGCATTGTGGTGGAAATTTTTATTTCAATTTATGAGGATATTTATTGTCTATCTTTTATATATATATTTTTAAATCGATAATGTCTTCTGCTAGGTTGACATATTCTTTTGCACAAATAAGCATATTTTCATTAAAAAATAATATACTTTCAAAAATAAAATAAATAAAAGTATAAAATTTTAGTTATATAAATATCACTAATATATTTAATAATAAAAAAATATTATTATATACTTTTCAACAAAAACTTATTCATATATTCACATATTTTTAACTATTGAGACATAATAATTTTAACAATTACGTATTTATCTTATATTCATTATATTCACCTTGTCAAATTTATCACGTTTTCAGACAAGATAATATTTTTTTTAAAAACTACTATATCCAATCCAACCCTATACATATGGGGGAGGTACCAATGTAATTATCTGCAAATCCGAAAATAATGATTTTAGAGCATATATTTAATAATTAAAGAGATTAAAAAAGTCAATAATTTGGATTTTTAACTTTTTGAAAATTTAGATGTGACAAAAAGGTTAAATAAGACGTAGGGGAATAGAAGTGTGGGTATTCGCCGAAACCCGAAACTTAAGTCCGAATCGCATATGTACCCGACGACGTTGACACACGTGTCGGCACCGGCTACCGCCTGTTGCCGGTGGTCCTCCACCCATGAGCTGTAAAGTGGGTCCCACACCACGCCCCTCCTATTTCTCAACTAAAAAGCTAAAAAGTGCCGTTTTTCATTTTCGAAAAAAGAGATTATTGGTTGTTTTTTGGAAATTTGGATAATGGAATATATGATTGATTTTTTATTGTTTTTTTCATCTCATTCAAAATGAAAATGTAATTATTTTTTTAATTAAAATAATAGTAACATTATTATTTACTTTACAAAAGAAAAAAATAAATTAAAATAATAGTAATATTATTATTTACTTTCCAAAAGAAAAATATTTGCATATTTTTAAAAATCAATCTTATTAATTAATATTATGTTCTGTTTATTATCAACTTTAATCATATTCGTTCGGGATTTTTAATTTATTGCACATTTAGGAAAACTTAATTTTTAAATCATATATTTGGAAAAAAAAAAAATCCAATATCACCCTAATAAAAGGGTGAAAATGGAACAATATATTTGAGCAGGAATTTACATGTGTTGTTTCCCGTGAAGGAAAGGGAACACCAATTTTAGTACATGGCAGTCGTTACAGCTATTTATTGGCACGGGTTTTTAATTTATTTTATTTTTTAAAGTAGACTAAATAAAATAATATATGCTAAATAAAAATCATCATCTATAAGAAAATGTCAATAATATGCTTCTGCCAACTCTTAATATAATAAATTCCTATATTGTTGTTTTTTTTTTTATTATTATTCCTACATGATTTTTGACATTTGATCACTACACAATTATAATCCTCTTTTATGTTTTTACATGGTATGATTTAAATAATGAATCTATATGGCTTAGTTAAAAAAATGCTATGTATTGCAATTTGGACCAACAAAAAAATGTTGCTTAACATAAAATATTGTACTTTCAAGTACAATGAATAGTTGCTTTACATTGTTTAGCTATAACTATATTTTTCTTTAATTTAAAATTATGTAATTTTCTATAATTTATCATGGTATTTTTCTAGTTCTGTAGCAAATTAGCGTGCAATTTTCATTAAAGTCAACTATTAAAATTAATAAATGTTTATGTAACGCATTGATAAATTCTTTGTAATCTTCTCCACTTTTTGTTGTCTGTCACAAGAGATTCATCTCTGCCCCATAAATATTAGTATTATACTAAGATTGTAAAAAAATAAAACATACAATATGTTTTTAAACTCTCCTTAATATTATTAGTATAATTAAATTATATAAATCAATCTCTTTACAAATTACAACAATTTTTGTTCACTTTTAATGCATTCGCATAATTTTAATTATCTATCATTTTTCAATAACAAATTTTCTAGTTTTACATCATTTTAATTTTAATTATTATATTTTAAATATTATTTAAATACAAACTCAAAATTACACTCGAATCAAAATTTAATCAACATTTTTTAAAATTAACTCATTTTATCTAATAAATCAAATTTAATTAAAAATAACTTATATTCAATCTCGACCTTAGGTGGATAGACTTATCAAATTACTTGAACAAAAATGTCTCGTAATTTTACTTACGTTGTTTTGTAAATTATGCCGTTTTGAGTCGACTTGTCATACTATTTAACTAAAAAATATATTATAAAACAAAATGTCCTAAATTTTTATTTTTTTTATACAGTATGATATTTTTTAATGCAAATATAAATATTTGCAAAAAGAATGTAAAAATCTAATAGTTAGGTAGGTCTAACACAAACCAAAATATATAGAATTATTTATTTATTTAGGTACATAAAAGAACCAAAGATGATTTTTTTCACCAAGAACAAGATACCCAAACTAGATAAAATTTGCCATACATAACCATCGAAAAAACAAGAATTATAAATAGTGAGAGAGAGAGAGGGAGAGAGAGAGAGGGTTATGCCCCAAAGCCAAAGCCCAAAGCCTTTGCTTTGATTTGCAGAGAGAATCCGAAGGATTTCTCTTACAAGAACTGAAAAAGAAAAAAAGGAAAAAAAAAAAAAACTTCAGCCTCTTTCTTTCTTCCATAGAAAATACAGATACAAGAATTAAAGAAAAATAGAACAGAAACACACACACACACACATACATGCATAGATACCTGCAAAAGGGGGGAGAGAGAAAATATTCTTAAATTGGGTGTAGCTTCAATCAAGAACTGTAGCTTCTTATCCAATCCCATTTGTAAGTCCCTTGTCATTTTATTCTTATTGTACTAAAAAGATAATATAATAAAAACGGAGTCTTTCTCGGCTATGGCTGTTCTGTTTTGTGCTTTCCATATTTGCTATGGTTATGGCTGCTTTGTTTCAGTTTCTACTTGTGAAAGATCAATTTTTTTCTTGGTTTGCTGCTTGGGTTTCTGTGATAGATCTAATCTGTGTTAATCTATTGGTGCTGCCGATGCAAGATTGAAGCTTTTTCACTTTTCCATTGTTTTCTATTGATTTGTTTAGGTTGTAAGAAGATTTGAGAATCTGGGTCTTGGTCGATCTGATTTCTGGTGATCTGTAAATTAGTCCAATAGATTAAAGTTTTGATTTTTATGGAGATTTGAAGTGTTTTTGAATCTGGGTTTTGGTCATTTTCTATGGATTTCTCTGTTTCATCACTCCTTTTGATAAGCTGTGCTAAAAGGTTCTTAGCCAATGACCAATCTTTTGTTTTTTTTTCTTTTCCTTTTTCTGCATATCTGTGAGCATTTCGATTGAATCGAGATTCGGGTTGTTTATGGATATAGTTCTTGGAATGGTAACTCATATAAAGCTGTAAATTTTTTTCTATTAATATATATACTCATATCATATTTTCCATGTGACCTTAATAAATGAAAATCTGAATCTTTGAGAATCCAAAAGTGATGAATGGCACAGAAATCCTTGTTAATATATAAAAATCTCCTTCTCTTTGCCTGTTTAAATGTTTTTCCTTTCCCTCAGTAGTTTCTGTTTTTCCTCTGTCACCATGTTTTTCTATAATAATAATAATAATAACAGTATCAGCTAAAAAAACACAATTTCCAGATTTCCAGATGAGGAGATTAGCAAAAATGGATCATAATCTGCTCTCTCTTGATTACCCTTTTCGATTTTTTCGCAGCCTAATTCGTTTTTTCCTCCGGGGACTCCATTCCCACTCCCCAAAAATCAAGACAATGCTTGAGGACCGAGCCTTCTCGATCTCCCGTGACTACTCCACGACCCCCCGCGAACCCGATTGGGCCCACATCAGCTACACGAACAAACGCCCCCCAGACGACGGAGAAGAAGCCCCCGCCCGCAAATCCCCCAAACCCGATCGACTCGACTCGTCTTCCCTAATACCGGCCATCGGTCGAGACAACTCCATCAACTGCCTCCTCCGTTGCTCGCGTGCCGATTACCAATCCCTTTCGAGCCTCAACACTTCCTTCCGCAACCTAATCCACTCCGGCGAGCTCTACCGTCTCCGCCGCCTCCACGGCGTAATCGAGCATTGGATCTACTTCTCGTGCCAACTCCTCGAGTGGGAGGCCTTCGACCCGACCCGCCGCCGTTGGCTCCGCCTCCCGAGAATGGACCCAAACGACTGCTTCCCGTACGCCGACAAAGAATCCCTCGCCGTCGGGACAGACTTGCTCGTTTTCGGTCGCGACCTAACTTCCCACGCGGTCTACCGCTATAGCCTCCTGACGAACGAGTGGTCTCCCGGGACGTCGATGCTCGAGCCTCGTTGCCTCTTCGGCTCCGCGAGCTTCGGCTCGTCGGCCATCGTCGCCGGAGGTTGCGACTCGTCGGGGAACGTTCTCCAGTCGGCCGAGATTTACGACTCAGAGACGGGCTTCTGGCGGAGGCTGCCCGACATGAACCGGGCTCGGAAGATGTGCTCGGGCGTGTTCATGGACGGGAAGTTCTACGTCGTGGGGGGCGTCGGGATGGGCTCGGAGATTCTGACGTGCGCGGAAGAGTTCGACCCGGCAACGGGGGTTTGGAGGGAGTTGCCGGAGATGTCGCCGGTGCGGGCCCACGACGAGACGTTGCCGGTGCCCGTCACGTCGGAGGCGCCGCCGCTCGTCGCGGTGGTCGGGGACGAGCTTTACGCGGCGGATTACGCGGCGATGGAGGTGAGGAGGTACGATAAGCGG